AGGTGGACCAACGACATATATATATTATGAAGAGGGATTAATTTATTCTAAGAGTAAGTTTACTTAAAGTTGCTTCACTTAATAACTTATGTTTTACATTAAATTTTAACAATTCAACTGTTAATTTAAAAGTCTTTAATGTATAGATCAAATTTGTAAAATTTTAAAAAATTGAAAACTATTTGATAATTTTTTTCATTAACTCAAATTGACGGATAATTATAAAAATATTTTCTATATTGATTTGAATTAATTAAATGAAATATCAAATAATTTTTAAATTTTCAAAAAATTTATAAACTTAATCTAGTCATTGAAAACTTTTAATTCAACAGTCGAATCATTAAAATTTGATATAAAACATGAGTCATTAAGTAAGAAGACTTACCTCTAGGAGTAAGTTGATCCTTTTTGAGCGAAAAACACTACCTGATAACCAAACCTCTAGAAACCATGTACATACATACTCCTTAGACACGGTCTTCTCTAATGACGTCAAACTCGCATAATGGTCTCTCCTTTGTGCTAGTAGCAAAGCTCACTCAAAAAACACATTACCCACTTCCTTAGATAACTTATCACAACATTGTGCCTTTTTCAGTGGTAAGCTTAGACACCCTGGTAGCAAGAATGACAACTCTCCTCCTTAAAGATTGTCTATCGCCAACCAACCTCTCCCTCTCATGGTAAAGATGAGTGCACGTAACGGCCAGTGCAGTCCTCTTCGACCGACTAACATCTAGCTTAGACCGTAGCATCCTAATTTTCACTGTCAACAACTTTGGCTCCCCCTAACTTGAAGTACTACCCCTCGACCATGTCTAGGCAACTCATTGATCGACCCTTGTTCATCGTTGTCAATCTAGGATTGAGGTTCACCCACCCTGTTCCCACATGTTGCCTCCCCAACTAACCTACATGAAACATAAATCATGTCATCAAGTCACAAATATAATCAACAATGTACCAGTTGGCACCCACCTTTGACCCGGTCAAAGGTCAAACACACCAAAACCGAAAGAGACCCCTTCGGCCCTAGACCAAACCGAATACCCACTTCGGTCCTAGACCTAGCCGAATACCCACTTCGGTCCTAGACCTAGCCGAATACCCTCTCGGTTCCTGACCAAGCCGAATACCCACTTCAACCCTAGACCTAGCCGAATACCCTCTCGGTCCTAGACCTAGTCGGATACCTTCTCGGTCCTAGACCTAGCCAGATACTCCCTCGGTTCCAGGCCAGGTCGAACATCCCCTCCGCCCCAGATCAGGCCGAATACCCCTTCGGGCCTAGACCAGGCCGAATAACTCGTCGGCCTTAGGCTTGACCAAAGACTTAAGGCAAGGAGAACCCACATAAAACACGTGGCAAATTACATACCCATTATGCAATAATTACCATGCCTGATTAAGAGAAGATTAAGGTTAATTAAAATGTTACCCATCTCCCAAAATAAAAGGCCCACCAGGCCCACTCATGTCACTATAAATACACAGGTGATGGGACATAAATGAGGTACGTTATTATCCAATATAAAGCCTTTATTGCTCTGAACCGAATACTTACTTGATCGTCGGAGTGCCTTTGCAGGTACCCTCCCCCACCCCTCGGAGACAGTATTCGGTCGGCACCTAAGACTTAGAAGACCAAGAAGGAAGAACAACAAGAGGAGTGTTTCTACGCAGGAACACATTGGCGCCCTCCGTGGGGCCAAAACCGGAACGGTTCTCGACCCTGAAGCAAGATGGTACTTACAAGAAGTCAGCAAGAGAACGTAGCCACCGAGTACCCTTACGGGATGCCCCAGGACAATCCTAGGCCACGAACTAACCAGAACGAGGATGGAATGGAAGAGTCGTTTGTTGACCGATCTCAACAGCCTAATCCG